TGTAGCCGGGCGGCAGCTAAAGGACCGAGTGTAGCCGGGCGGCAGCTCGTGTTTTTAATAATTCATCATATCGGCTGTTTGTTTTGATCTCAGCTGAAGTTACGAGTCATAAAAACTTTGAATCTTATTTAATATTTTCTGTAATTTGTTCCTAATCCTCCGTCCACTCGGGCTGCAGATTAAAGGCTTTGAAAAAAACTAAACCAGATTTTGTTCCTGAACGCAGCACTGCTTTAATTTCTTCATTTGAATAAATCAGACTTGAGATGAGGGGACATTTGGACATTTGGACATTTGGACAAGTCCTGGTGCCATCAGGGGGACAAAAGGAGGAGAAGGGATTTTACTTTGGAGGTTTGAGTCTCATCCTGTCGAACACTCCCCCCTTCTCTCCCTGCACATGTTTGGTCTCCCCCTCTGAGTGGAACTGATCATTTATCTGACGGGATTACCTCCTCTTCCTCCTCCTCCTCCTCCTCACTCGTCTTTCTTTTCGTGCCTCCATTCTTCAGTTCCTCTTTACTCCTTTAAGGTTCTGTGGTTCTGGTTTCAAGCGGCTTTTAATTTTAAAATCTGAAGGTTTTGGTTTGGATACCCCGGCACATCTGGGACGTTAGCTCGTCAGCTGTCGGTGGAATCGGGCCGGTCCCGACCAGAATCAGAACCAGCTGGAGACGTGAGCTGACTCTACTTCGTTTTGAAATCTCTCGTTTTTCTCCTTCAGTTCAGCAGAACAGAAACATTTAAACCAGCTGGAGAAGTTTAATAAGAATTTAACCGGAGTAGTTTTAATGATGAAAATAAATAAATTACGGTAGTTTGTTGATTTATTTTGCACCTGGTTGTTGTTGTTCGTTAACAAACCAGTTTTAAAGTTTATCCTGGTCAGTCAAACTGAAATGTTAATATTTAAAAAAACAAAGTTTAGCTTTTTTTAACTTTTAGACATTTTTCTGATTTATTCACTGAATTCATGAAGAAAACGTTCTTCAGAATGTTAGCTGCAGACTCTGCTGCTGGTTCTGGTCTGACCCGGGTCAGTCCTGTAGGTGGTGCTGCGTGAGAAGGTTGGAGGTCTGTGTCCCTCAGAGGTCATCGTCAGATGGAGGAAGGAGCTGGTAAAGTTCTGATCCACGTGGACACTGTCCCGATGTCCAGAACCGATCAGAACTCAGACTGTAAAACTTACGTTAATTTATATCTAAAGAGTCAGATTATCAAAAGGTCACGGTCTAAACTTCAGGAGGTTTGGACCATCTCCAGCTGTTCTGTAGGACCTCTTCAGCAGAACATTCAGTTCCTCAGCCGTCTCCAAAGGTTCTGAAACAAAAAACGAGAAACGAAGAACCTGTTATCCTGAAGTCCCGTCACTCACTTCAGGCAGTGAACCTCATATTTTCATGGATCCATCGCACAGTGAAATATTTGAATCCTTTATTTCTTGTAGTTTTGATGGTTTTAAATTGCAAATAATGAAAAACTAAAACTCAGAATATTCCAGAACCAGCTTCTGGTACCTTTGGCAGTGTGGGCCGGTACGAGTCCTGCTGGAAAACACAATCCTTGTCTCCGTGGGTCTACGTGGATTCTGGTCTCTCCACTCTTCCTCCAGACTCTGGGACCTTCATTTATAAACGACATGAACATCGACTTTCACCTGGAAAGAGGACGTTGGACCATTGAGAGACAGTCCAGTTCTTTTTATCCTCAGCAGGTAAGACACTGACGTTGCCTCCGGTTCACGAGTGGCTTTCCAATATTAAACTTCTTCATAATGTTCGCATTTTCTGAGTTTTGGCTTTTCATTATTTGTAAGTTTTAATCATCCAAACTACAAGAAATGAAGACGAGAAATATTTTACCACGTTTGTAATGAGCCGTTGTAAAACGAGTTTCATTCTCTGAAGTGATTGACAAAAAACAACTTTTTATGAGATTTACAAGTTTGTGTTTTTACTGACATTTTATTCAACTCCTCCGGACTCTTCAGGCTTCTTGAACTCTGCCTCGCTGGTTGATGTGTAACTCCTCATTCAGAGGATTTTATTACTTCCTGCTCCTTCGCTGTAACTCGGACTCCAGAGTCTCGTTGTTTCCCACGTTCGGTGCTCTTGTTTCACCTGGAGGCCCGGTGCAGGGCCCAGCTCCACCCAGGCAGCTTTAAAGGCCCCTTTCCTCTTATAGGACTCGGATCGTTTGGCCGTCATCTGAGGAAGTTTTCTAATCTTAGCTGTGAAACGGATCTGAGAGGACGGCTGCTGGGGGTGCAGGCAGAGGGCTGCAGAGAGAACCAGGCGGAGGACCGGACTGCCGCGTTCTGGCGGAGGACTTGGACCAACCTGGGTTTTAGCCGTGCCTCCAGCAGGAAGTGAGGATGAGAGTTCCAGGTGAGGCTGAGCTGAAAGTGTTTTTACTCTGAACGCTGAGTCGGCATGTTGCTGTCCTGTTTTTATTTTGCAGCTTTTTCTGCAGGCTTTGTGCAGTTTTAGCTGTTCATAAATCAAAACGTTCGGCTCGTAAAGGAGATGGCTGCAGTGACGTTTGACTTTTGTAACTTTTGAGGGACCCCGCCCCCCCCAACTTTAATTTCTGAATATTTTCATGCATCAAGATTTCTTCCGTTCTTCAGAATTTTTGTTCTATTAGAAATCTGCTTCGACTGCGGGCTTCTTATGCTACTGTTAGCTTTTAGCTAGCCTTTTCCCACTTTAGCTTTTCTTCAGATTTTTAAATGTTTGAGCAAACGTTAAGTCCGAACTGGAACATCAGTTTGAATATATTGGCTTCTGCTGTCTGAGGTTCAGGTTCTGCGGGTCTGGGTTCTGGTGGTTCATGGACCAGGAGGTGATGTAAACCATCAGGCTCTGCTTTTATTCTTTCAGTTGTAACTTTAGGTTTTAAATGCTTTTACTGTGAAAGAACTGCTTCCTGTCGAGCTGTAACTGAGAGTGAGACAGCAGAACCTCAGAGGTCTGTCTGTGGCACATCTGGACCGGTACTGGTTGGTTCTTCTGGATCACATGCAGACTGACGGGTCCAGTGACGCTTTATTTAGACGCAGGATGTAAACATGTTTGTTTCTGAGTTACTGTAGGATTCAGCTGCTCTGCACTGACTGTCTCACACACCGACTGTCTCACACACTGACTGTCTCACACACTGACTGTCTCACACACTGACTGTCTCGCACACCGACTGTCTCGCACACGACTGTCTCGCACACCGACTGTCTCGCACACGACTGACTGTCTCGCACACGACTGACTGTCTCGCACACCGACTGACTGTCTCGCACACCGACTGACTGTCTCGCACACCGACTGACTGTCTCGCACACCGACCGACTGTCTCGCACATTGACCAACTCTCACACTGTGTCTCACTGACTCATCTGACAGATTCTCTCTACTGTCTCACTGACAGATGTCTGTCTCACTGACAGTCTGTCTCACTGACAGTCTGCAGGCAGGTTGTCTTCTGTTATTAAACTTTCTGCCTTCATCTTGTTTTTACGCGTCCCTTTATTATTTTATTTTTAATAAAAATATTCTGTTGCTTTTGGACGAGGGGACATTTTATGTAAAAACATTTAAAATTATTTATCAATTTAGATTTTTCTTCAGATATTTGTCATCAAGCCAGTGTTTCAAACGTCTGACCGACTTACAGCGACTCTTTCTGCCACAGCTCCTTCGTCCCGTCCTCCTGTTGGACGGATCAACGTAAATAATTTAACGCAACGTTTAAAGCAGAGATCTTAACGAGCAGCCACTCACCTGGAACCAAAGGTTCCACTTTATTGTCCCTTCAAAATAAAGTGCGATGGCAGAAACAGGGTTTTGTTTTTATTAATTTACTTTTGGAGAACAGTTTTTGTTTCAGTACCAAGTTAAAAATGAAAGACTTTTATTATTGAAGACAAATTATTTTTTTAATCGACCCGTCTTAACTAGACTGTTCAACAACCACTGCCCGTTCTGTCCCACTGTCCCAGCAGAAGACATTTGACAGAAGTGAGGTGTGCAGATTGAAATGTGACGTTTGGGTCCACCTTGAGGGAAATGTTCTGACTGTTTTGGGTTCTGCTCGTCTCTGCCTCACTAACCTGCCGGTTCTGTCTGGGTTTGCAGGCTGCATGGGGATCTGGACTTGATGCATGTCTCTGTTGCATGACTGCAGCGAGTCTTGTTGTGGGACTGAGAGCGCACGGCGTCTACCATGGCCCAGACCGTGCACGTGAACGGCAGCGAACCAGGTAAACCCGCTTGTTTTTGTTGATCTTTAACCCGTTTATGCCAACGTTTGTTTTTCTAGACATTCTGAGAGTTGACGAGTAGATCTGTTCGTGTTTTACGAGGAGTTCGGCTCAGTCGGTTCGTTTGTCCATGACCTGGTCCAGAACGGTTCAGCTCGGCCCGGGCCCGTCCTGCTTAGGGTTACCCTGCAGACTGAACTGTTCAGTGTGGAACCGTTGGTCACATGACCAGAAGGTGGAGCCGTGACGGGTCGGATCCTGTGTAGCATAGAAGTGGAACAGATGTTTCAGTGGAACAGATGTTTCAGGCATTCTTACTGTTTTCATAGTCACATTTATACAAAATAACTTTATTTATAAAGAATCTTAAAAACAACACAGTTGGCCAAAGTGCTGTACACGAATACATGCAAGCAATTTGTGCTTCAAATGAATGAATAATCTTAAAAGCAGCTTTATTTCAGGTTCTGTCTCATCAACGCTTCAGACACGCAGAAGATTAACTGAAACACCTTTAGTTCAAATCAAAGTTCGTCAGGTTGGGTTTGTGCCAAGTTGGTGCACGTTGTCTCGGTGCAGCGCACGTTGTCTCGGTGCAGCGCACGTTGTGTTCACGCCTCAGCCTTGGTGTGAAACAGTTTAACAGTCGAGGAGTTTCTGTGAACTCCCTGCAGGTGGAAAACATTCCTGACGAGTTTCTTAGCAGGAAGCTTCGTTCTTTTAAATCCCTTCAGGAATGTGGAGCACACTGCCTCCAGAACTGGGTTCTGTGGAGCAGGCCGCCTCCAGAACCGGGTTCTGTGGAGCAGGCCGCCTCCAGAACTGGGTTCTGTGGAGCAGGCCGCCTCCAGAACCGGGTTCTGTGGAGCAGGCCGCCTCCAGAACATGCTACTCTACCAGGGCAGACGCAGATGGAGACCTTCAGTTCACGTGTTTGAAGCCATCGATGCATCAGAATGTTCTCTAGATGGTTTTGTTTCACAGAACATCTGCCGACATCCACCCCTCTGGTTCATTCAGCTGCTCTTCTGTATTTTCCGGTCGTTCTTCTCGGTGAACTTTATTTGTAAAGATACTTCAGTGGAGTAGCTGGAATTCAGTGAAGTCGGTGAGCTGGCCATTTTTAACATTTAGTTTGAGTTTGGTCTTTATTGAGGAGTCTTTGTTGAGCTTCAGAAAGCTGTGCTTGATAAACTTACTGAAGGTTTAACTCCTCGGTGGAACGAAAGTTCTTCAAACAAATCTCCTGGAGCTCTGATCTCGGATGGTGAAGGTCTGTCCAGAATATGTAGTTTTTAACATTTTATTCCAGGGATTGTTGTATTTTATGGGAACGGATGGACTGAGATCATTTATTGAGAACTTAATTAAAAAAGAAGATGGCTGACATGTTTGAGCAGGAAAATATTAAAAAAAAATTGCAATCTGGGTGGAGCTGGGCTCAATGTGGGCGGGGCTATGCAACAAACTAATGTGACAAATTAAAGGCAATTGTTAAGCTGTGCAGAAAAACAGGCGTTGATGTTTTGGCTGCTTCTCTGATGACCTCAGCTTTCATGTTTGTATTCAGGAGGACTGATGTTTCTGTTTGAAGTTCTTCACGGTGAGACTTGGATCAAAACCCGTTTGACTTTTCCTGGACGCTAATTAAACTTCGAGGCAGCAGCAGGAAATGTCGGGCTGCACTGAGACGAACGTTTGTGTTGAACTGAAGATGTTTGGACCTGAACATCCTTCAGATGGATCGTCAACATTATGAGATGTTCAGCTGAGGTTCTGCAGGTGGATCTACCTGCTGAACCTCAGAGGTCAGCCGTGGCCTTTACGCAGCGCCAACGCGTCGTCTCGTAACTGATGTCGTCAGAAGTTTGAAACCTGTTTGAAAACACAATCAGTGAGGTTTTGTTTTGTTTCTCTGATTATTTCCTCGTTTGTTGTTCTGATGATGACAGGAAGTCGAACCTCCTCTCATCCTGCAGCCAAATCACATGATCCAACGGGGACCAGAACTTTACAGCTCTAATAAGACGGGAAGTAACCACGCCCGCTTCGCTACACGTTGCTGGTTCAGTGGGTGGAACGTACAGGTCCAAGTTTTATGTAACGATAAAGAAATGAATGCAGTTTTAGTTTTAAGAGGGCAGCATGGTGGTGCAGTGGTTAGAGGTGTGGCCTCACAGCATGGAGGTCGCAGGTTTGCCTCCCAGCCTTTCTGTGTGGAGTTCGGCAGTGAAAAATGAGTGATATAATAAATATTAAACTGAAAAATGAGTGATAGAATAAATATTAAATTGAAAAATGAGTGATAGAATAAATATTGAAAAATGAGTGATAGAATAAATATTGAAAAATGAGTGATAGAATAAATATTAAATTGAAAAATGAGTGATAGAATAAATATTAAACTGACAAATGAGTGATAGAATAAATATTGAAAAATGAGTGATAGAATAAATATTGAAAAATGAGTGATAGAATAAATATTAAATTGAAAAATGAGTGATAGAATAAATATTAAACTGAAAAATGAGTGATAGAATAAATATCAAACTGAAAAATGAGTGATAGAATAAATATTAAACTGAAAAATGAGTGATAGAATAAATATTAAATTGAAAAATGAGTGAGAATAAATATTGAAAAATGAGTGATAGAATAAATATTAAATTGAAAAATGAGTGATAGAATAAATATT